AGCAGCGGCCTCAAGTTGGGGTAAGCACCGAGATGTAGTATCCGGTGCGTCATGATGAGGTCAACCCGCACTCGACGATAGAACACGGTGTAAAGTCCTCGCCTTCGCATCAGTTTTCGTACGGAACACAGAGTAAAGCGGGGATTAGCCTAGTGGGCACATGCTGTATCCGCCCAAACCTTTGCAGATTGTTCCGGGTGATAGGATAGTATGCGGGTGAGCGCTACCCTAGCATTAGTCGTACGACTAAAACGAAGAGGCGAGTAGCATTTCCTCGGACCAAGTGAAGAAGCTGTGTATGAGTGCCCCAAGCATACGAACGTGTTGTCCACGGACTATGGGTCGTAGCGAGAAAGTAGGCCGACGCCGTTCACGAAGGGTGTGGGACGTAACGGTTGAATGGCCACAGTGCAGTTCAACTGTGTCCACACATACCCAACCTCATGGGTAGCGACTTGACCGGGTTTATCGGAAGGTTGGCTTCTGCAGACTACATGGAGGCGGTCAGGGTCACAGTCATCTAGCGCATTGATTAGTTGCAACACCTTCAGATCCTATGCAAACGCACAAGGCAAAATTATAGGCTGATGCCCATCGTTTATAGGGATCAGATTGAGTAATTTAACAGGGAAGCAAAAGTTGCTTATTGCATTATTGCGTTTGATGGCAAACATGCGATTACATATAGCATTGCAGAGAGCACCTCCATAGTGTTTGTCTTGTGCGTTTCCTTGTCTCTCTCCCTTCCGCTTAGCCTCCTACTTCAACCCCGACCTCATTTCTGACACATACCGTAACTGCTTTTGCGGCGTAATAGTCGGATGCTAGCTCTCTTAAAAGATGTCCATCCGTTACTGATGGCTCAGCTGACGTCTCTGTCGCGTGCTCTTTCCTCATGTATTGCGAAACAATAGCTGAGGTGTATTCTACCCCTAGCTAACGTTTAAACATGTGACCGCATGTGCTACAACCCCAGGTGCTTAGAGACTATGGACTAGGCTTCATCGCAGCCTGTTGCTTTTATAACCGGCGTTTCTCTTTCGCATGTAACAGCCTTTTTGGTGCACCTGGGCAACGGCATTCTTGATGTGCTCAAGCCATTGGCGCCGATCTACTGCCATTGATTCCCAACACCCGAAATCAACATCAGTTCGTGGTCGACTCAGCTGGTAAGGTAGCTTTGGTTTTCCGACGTTTCACTCCCATACATGCAGTTGGTCATACAACAGCTGTTTCGGTAATCTAGTAGAATCCATACAGTGGACGTACCCGCGCCACATGAGGTGTCGCAGCAGAAGTATGCAGTCCACTGCATACATGCCGCTTCGGCGCAGCACTTCCTTGTCAGCAACTCCGTCACATCAACCGATGCGCAGAATCCGACGCAGGCACTGTTGATGAAATCGCTCCAAATATCGCATATCCTCCCCGTACAGCGTCCAGGTTTCGCCAAAGTAGATGAAGACCGACAGCACCATCGACTTGTACAGTGTCAACTCGGTTTCAGTGGTCAGCCAGCGGTTCTTTTAAACCCGACCTTGCAGCTTACTAAACACAACACCCGCCTTTGATACACGGATATGCAGTTCGCTGGGCACCTGCAGGTCCGTTGACAGTACGCTCCCAATGCAGCAGAATTTTGATTTGTGCGCAACCCACAGATTGCATTCCTGTTGACGGCTGGAAAACGCAGTCTCGTTTGTGTTGATGATGAAACTCAGCCTTGCAGCTGTCGAATCGAGAGACCTCGTCAAACCTTGCAAAGTGAAGTCAGATGAGTTACATGTATCGATGGGAACAGTTGCGAGATCAGTGGTCGTCTGTCGCCTGATAGAAGGAAAAGAGAATTGCAAGGTGAAAGAAAGAGAAGGAAAAGAGGAAGTATTGTTCACGGAATGAAGTAGGCAGATGACAGTTACTGACTGCCCATCCCGAGAGATGGACTTTGTTAGATTCTTCACGGACCAGTGATCGCTGTGCACCCTAGACCGTCACTTTGGACCCAACCTATCGCTCGGAAGTCGAAGGTGAGATCGGACTGCCCAAGTTGAATAAAGCCGCAGGACCAGAAAATCTTCATCCATCCCTTTTAAATTCGGCGAACCTGCTCTTGTGGATGATTTATACGAAACATTAGTGAAACTGTGGAAGCAGGAAACTGTCCCAACCGACTGGAGCCGCTCCGTTATTGTCCCGATCTTCAAAAGAGGCTCTCTTACGGAATGCAGCAACCACAGAGGAATCAGTCTGATCCCCATCGCCTCCAAATGGATTGCCTATATAATCCTTCGCAGGCTGACTGGCGCTTGTGAAAGCCAGGTTTCGTCGAGGTCGGGGATACATTGACCACAGATTCACTGCGTCAGTTGTTGGAGCACCGTCACATACAATGGCGGCCCACCGTTGTCATGTTCCTCGACATCAAGCGTGCCTTCGATTCGGTGGATGCATGTGCCCTTTTTGGCTGTTTGCTAAGGAAAGGTGTGTCCGATAAATATGTAAATATTATCCGACCGCTTTATGCGCGTAGCTCGGGCAGAGTGAGGGTTTACGACACGCTGTCGCTGTTTTTCAATATCTCCAGCTGTGTAAGACAAGGATTCCAACTGTAGACTTTCTTCTTCAACTTCGCTACTGACGAAGTCATGGAGATCGAGTTCACAAAACACGACTTAGATGTTGTGGAGCTGCTCACAAACTTGCAAAGCTGCATTGGAGAGTAGTGCTGGTCGTCAGCCGTTTCGCGCTCTGCTTTGCACATGAAGTAAAAGCTTTCTTTCAAGACTGGCAGTGACCGCCTCCTGCGTTGACCCTTGGTGGGGATAAGCCAGAAGTGGCTCAAAAGTTCAACTACATAGGCAGTCTTATCAGTGCTGCTGAAAGTGAAGACACAAGGTCAGAAGACGTATAGCAAAGCGCGAAGCGCTTTTGATAACTTTCGCCATCTATGGCGCTGACGCGACATCACTTTCTCCTTGAAGGGTAGAGTTTACAATGCATCATCATCATCAATACACGTTAGTTGAGGGTAAGAAACACACCTTAGCTAATGTGTCGCAATAGAAATAGGTAAAATACATAAAAATACAAAAGCAGGTGATATAAGGTTAAATATTATATTATGTAGATCATGTGAGATCGGAATTAGAGGGGAAACCTAAAGGGAGAGAGATGGGCAAAGAAGCTCACAGCACAAACGCCATTGGGGCCGCCTCTTCGCCATATCAGCAAATGTGTCCAACCAAACGTGTTCATCATCCTTAGGACCCTAGCCAGGCAGTCAGGATGCACCAACCGACGCCAACTTCGAAGTGAGGGTGTTCATTTCTCTCGACCAAGTCATCGCTTGGCCTCTCCTCCTCTTCCAACTACACCCCCGGAGTGCAAACAATGCACGTCGCGGGATTCGGTTTGCCGGCATGCGCAACACGTGGCCTAGTGCGTGATATGATGGTGCTGAGCGGTTCACTAGCTCTTCCTGCACCAAATACGCGACGCCGTTTACAATGCACCTGTATGTTGGACCCTACTGTACGAGTGTGAAAATCTGGCCCATTACATCAAACGATATAAAGAGGCTTGTTACGTTCGACTAACGGCGCCTTCTCAGTCTAGCTCATAAAAAGGCATCAGCAGTACGCTGGTACGCAGTACCGACGCTTCGCTGCCGCGCAACCACCACCGGTTGCACGTGGGCTAAGGATACTGCGAGGGTCGCCCTGTCCCTACGCAGGCTCGAACCCGCGCCGTCAGATTACAAGACAAGCTCGTTACCTTTAGGCTACGTGCCGGCTCATATCTGGTGGGAAGACCGTGTAAACAATGAACGTGTTCGACGCCCTATGTATGGCCCAGGAAGAAGAGACGAACCGCTTGTCACCGTTATACCACGCACCAGGCTCCGATGGCTGCACCACGTGTTGAGTGACGTGCGTTGTTTGCGAACCGGGGGTGAGGATAAAAGAAGAGAAGGGGTGGTCAAGCCATAACTTGATGAAGAGGAATGAATACCCTTATTTCAAAGGTAGCCTTCGTTGGAGCCTCCCGGCGCCCTGGTTGGGGGCTGAAGGAGTATGAACACGTTTGGCTGAATACACTTGTTGACATGGCTAGGAAACGACCTCAGTGACGTTTTGTTGTGATATTATTTTCCCCCTCTCCTGCTTGGTTTCCCTATACAACTGCGGTCTCATCTATTAGGTATAAGATAAGGCTTATTTCATGACATAACAGCCGACTGTTAACTCTTCGGAACGATGTTCAGCCGCTACTGACGTGCCTCCGTTGTATTATTTTCTTGTCTTTCGTATTGTGTCACAATAGCTGAGCTGTAGCTAAACTGACTTGTCAGTCTGACCGACAAGGCAGTGTGCTTCACAAGATAATATTAGTTGGAGCATCATAGCAATTTCAATTAATCCATTCAATAAACCAGAATGAATAAGTACCGAATTAGAATGAGTGAAGTAGCTTTCTAGACCAAGAGGCATCTGTATGCCCAGTCAGTCATCTAAAGAGTCAACAGCCCGCCACACAAGCATCACAGTTCGCAGAAGGGCTGTATTATTGCGAGCTCCCCCGCAGTTACACGGTCTCTGATAGATGAATCATGGATTGCATACCAAACACCCCAACGAATCTGCTCCTGTTGGGACAAGGAGATGTCAGTGTTGAACAACGATTAAGGAGACATGTGCGAACAGAGTAGGGATCTTTCTTCGCTGGTGATCATCCAGCCCACTTAAACATAACGCAGCTTTAACAAAGGTGGTATAGTGTGGTTTTCTGGTAGTGGACATAGCACAAACAGGATATTCCAGTAAGTTGAGTGAACCACAAAAGAACGCGGATGCTCACAGGATAGAAAGCAACTAGCGTACAGCAGAGAAACTGAGGCGACACTGTTGTTGAATCAACTGGTTAGTCAGTGGAGTTCCAAAGCGATGCAAGTCTACCTTTATCAAATAACATTGAACACATTGGTGCAGCAACAAAAGTACATGGATGAAAAGATGGAACATGCCATGGTTAAAAGCTTTGCAAAAAGAGACAAGCATTCGAGGAATACCTTGGCAAGTAACTGGATCGATCAGGTGAATGGCTTCCGAAACTTTCGTTACTATGCAAATCGGGCCGATACCACCGAGGCGTTGGGATTGTGCCTTGGAGAGGCAAACAATATCATTCTGAGATAGAAGACACAAGTGGCAAGGGTTAAAAGAGTAAACAGTGTTTGTTTAAGGGTAACGCGTCATGCACTGATGTAAAGTACAGTCTAAAAACACCAGCCAAAATTGTCTGAATGAGTCTTCAGGAGCGCAAAGGTGCGAGTGAGACTATCGGTACCAGCGAGTGAGTCAGGAGACGGTGGAACAAGTCAAGTGTGTGTTTCTCACAATGCAACCTGCATGTGACAGAGAAACACAACAAAATGTTTACATTAGCTACACCAAATTGTACTCGTGTACTAAAGCTTCCGGGACAACAGATGGATTTAAGGTCACAAACGAGATACTGCAAAACAGAGGCAATACATCGGTAGAACGCGCGCACATAGTACCGACACTCCGCTGACAAGTGCCCACTATTAATCGAGCGCGATAACTCGCAAATACGCAGATCCGAAACGGTGGCTATGTCCTCTTATCCCTTCGGTCACCGAATAATAGAACAAAAGTTTGATGTCTTGGATGTATTGACTCTAGCATAAGCTTCTTTAAAGCTTCTGAAAAGACTGGATATCATGCGTTGAGTTGGCGTATTCAATGAGTAGTTGCCATGCTTAAAACTAAAAGGCGAGTAACGACGTAGCAAGCCAAATCGAGTTACGTCGCATGTATTGTATGAAAAATTGCTAGTTCGAGCTATAAACCTAGACTGTACACACGGTCTAGGCAGAAAACGATCGGGACAGAAGAATTTGTATTATAATCCTTTAACAGTGGTTCTAAAGGGCAGAATAATAGACGCGATAGGACTCACGACTAGGTTTGCAACGGCAGCGGAAACAGATAACAATAACAGCGATGTTAAAAAGCAGATAGTTGGAAACGTGACCTTGAGAAAAGTGCAGGCAATGTAAGTAAATGGAAAACAATCGTTTGAACATGTAATGGTCTAAAGGATGAAAAGCATGTTACTAGCTCGAAAGGTGGAAAGAGGTGGGAAAAGGATCACTGAGTCATCAAGATGGAATAATCTATCTGGTACAGGAAATCAAAGTTCTTCTGGATTTTACAACGCGTATGCTGCTTTCCGCTCATCACGGCCGTTTTCCATATGCAGGAACAATGAACCAGCTGGGTGGATGATACCGTGCAAATTGCGATACTAAGGTGAAACACAGGTCTCAGGGTAGTTGCTCGTTCACATGGAATCAAGAAAGATGCGGAAAGAGCTGGATGGTATAACTGTCCGCCCCATCTGACGTGTTTGCTGCTGGTGTATATAAAGTGGGATTAGTTTGGGTCCGGAGATTTACAACGCTACCTTCCTGTACCGAATACACGACACCGAACAGATTCATTACTCACGAAGTGTTCCCACCAGACCTGAGCTAGGCTGCGAAGGCAGCGATGATCGAATGTGACGAGCTTCTTTATGTCTGTCGACTTAATGGGCCACGTTTCGCAACGGTATAGGAAGATTAAACAGACGGCTGCGTTAGAAACTCTGGTCTTCAGGGTGAAAATGAAGTCGCACCAACGCCACAAGTGGCGGAGATTGACAACAGCGCGATCTGAGCTCTCGCAATACGGTGAAGACCATAAATTCAATCCCACGGGCGCTAATATAGCTACCCAGATACTTAAATTTCTGGACTGATTCAAGCTGATCCCCACCAAGAGTCAGCGTAGGAGGCGAACACTGCCAATCGTGGAGGACTTTAAATTTCGATGATGCAAAGCATTGTACGAAACGATTGACAGTGCTAATCTGTCTTGAGCCGTTTGGCAAGTTTGTGAATTATCACAAATGAGGGTGATGTCGTCTGCATACTCCAAGCCAAGAAGTCGTTAACCTGAGAACAGCTCTATACCTATGCTGTGTTCTGTGAACGCGATCTCCATGACTTCGTCAATAGCGCAATTGAAGAGGAAAGGTGACAGCGGGCATCTTTGTCTCACACCGCTGGAGATATTGAAGGGTGAAGACAGTTTGCCGTAAGCCCTCACGCTGCCCGAGCTACGCGCGTATAATGCTTGGATAATATTTACGTACTTCTCAGGTACACCTTTCCTGAGTAGGCAGTCCCAAAGTGCACGTCTATCCATCGAATCGAATGCACCTTTGATGTCGAGGAACATGAAAACGGTGGGCCGCCAATGTATGTGACGGTGCTCCAACAACTGACGCAAAGTGCATGTGTGGTCAATGCATCTCCGACCTCGACGAAACCCGGCTTGATCTTCACGTATATGGCTTTCACGAGCCCCAGTCTACGAAGAATTGCAGAGGCAATGAATTTGGAGGCGATGGGGATCAGACTGATTCCTCTATGGTTGCCGCATTCCGTAAGAGAGCCTCTTTTGAAGCTCGGGACAATAACGAAGCGGCTCCAGTCGGTTGGAACAGTTTCCTGCTTCAACAGTTTCACTAGTAATTAATGTGAGTTGTATCTAGAAAATAAACGCCTATTAAATCATGGTAGGAGGGGGCAAGAACTGGGGGATTGAAAACGGGGGGAGGGAGAAAATTGAAGTTGGAACAAAACGATAAGGGCGAAAAAGCGTAAGGCGGGGAATAAGAAGACGAGAAGCCTTGAGCGGTACCACCCAAACCCCTCTCCGTCCTGCTCGATGCGGCAGACGAAGCGCCGTTAATTACGCTCTGCGACGGCTAGAGCATCAGGACATGGTTTTATGAAGGATACATGGTACGCCTCGGGCAGGATACTGTCAGGTTGTCCAGACCTAGACAGGAGAACAATTAGAGTTCTCGATCAAAGCCTATGGTTCAAAAACGTGACAACTAGGCAACAGATTTGGAAGTGGACTGCAATGAGCCTGTTTTAAGGAATAAGAAGTCACCCTCACTCCAACGCCCAATCTGGAGGACCAGGAGACTGAGTTTGTCTGGCCGCTGACCATTGATCAATCTGGTATGATTGGCGTTGAAGACACAAAAAGCACCACCCAGCATAACTCAACGGATCGCTGAGGCACGCAAACCATCGCACCACAGTACGGCACAGCCACACTGCGATGGAGCAAGTCTCATGGCGATGGAGTTGGCCGTGTGAAAGGTATAGACTGCTCACACATTTGTCTTCGTGATGGGAGTGAAAAAGATGGAAAAATAGTGTCATGCATGAGAAAATACGTTCGCTAACCTTACAGACACTGGCGACTTCGACTGAGAAGGTAAATTTGTAATTATACGTGTTGTTGTGTACATCGTGGGATTTCAAATGTTGAGAAGTCTGGGTGCTGAAAAAGGGAAGCATACAGAAAAATGGTTGAGATTACGAAAGAGCGCAGCAGAAAGCCATCGGCGTGCAGAACCTGAGACAATCTATGGAGACAAAGGCTTATGGAAAGAGGCGAATAAGAGTTATGCAAGCCCATTGTGAGGCGGTAGAAGATGCGGCATCTATGTGATCAGACGTATAGAATAGTTTACAACCACTACCATTCGCAGAAAAGTAGGTATAACGAAAAGAACGACCTCTTCACTGACCAGAGAAAGTGGCATAAGTTACTGCTCTCGTGGAATGCGTCCGTTACATGTGGACACAATAGCGGTTCAGCTAAAGAGTGGAACATAAATGGCTATTAGATAGATGTTTGAAAGCGGATAATATAATTGTTATGTTTAAAAATCAGTGAGAACAAGTAGAGGATGCGATATGAACTATGGAATATGGATGAATACTGCAACATCAATGGGCATCTCATAATCTCAAATGAGCACGAAACCGATGACTCACCGACATGGGGCGCGTTTGCATACAAAATTCATGAAAGAAACAGCCTGTGATCGCGTGCTGAAGTAAAAATCGAGCCCCTCTATAAGTCAAAAAGCACAGAACCGGATAAAAGATATAAGCTATAAAATCTGGGATAAAGCCATAAACGATAGCCAAGCGAAAGTCGATGGTTAGAAAAACCTTTCAAGAACAGTAATGGGACAAGTATTTTGGTTCAAAGCCGGCCGAGATACTATTTTGGTAAGTGTTAAGAAGCTCCAATGTTATAGACGCAGAAAGAAACCGAACGAAGCCGATCGCGAAGAACAAAAGGCAACGCATTGTAACTGGCACGACGTGAAGCCGCATAAACCAGACTGTATCAATAAGAAATGTCAGGTGGCGAGATAGAAGCAATCAAACTAGAGAATGCATATGAAAGCAACTACAGTCTGTGTATGAGGATGCGAGGGTGTTGGTAGTTATTAGTTTGGGTTTGTGACAGACAGGGTGTAGACAGACGGGGGACCAATCAATTGTCACCGATGCGAGCTGACCACGATTTTACGAGCTAGAGAGACGAGTCAGAGTTGACTCATCCTAGACTAAATTAGGCACAGCTTGGTCACGGACACGGGCGAAACTGATTGGTCCGAACAACCGCCAGCGAACATAGCATGCACGTCAGCGATCCGACACCAGCGGCCCGGGATCCAATGGTGGCCAGCCCACGAAGCAAACGGCGAAAATAAGTAACTAGCGAGTTGACCATGATCGCGTGGGTCAGACGTCTAGTGAGGAATAAGCGCGGCCAAGCGTGAGTTGCGGTGGACAGAACAGGAGTGAGCTAAACTGGGCAGAGCGGATAAACGGTGCGCACTGGCCAAAGAAAAGCGAAAGACGTGATAATGAAAAATGATCAGTGAGAAGCCATCTTAATCAACTAGTGCCTTCAATTTCGCACAGCTTGAATGATGCTTCGATTTACGATCAACCGATTTTGATCGATGCTGAGAATTTGCTTTGACTCTTGAAAGACTACACTTAACTTTGTGATCGTAATGACCAGGGATGATTCGGTTCTTTCAGACTCTTTCAAAGTTGAAGTTGTACCAGCTGATCGACTGATAAACCTTAAATATGCTGACGACAGCTCTTCTTGAGTTGAACGCAGTGGCTACGCAAACACTGCTGCACAGACTGAGGCGTAATGATGCACGCTTCAGCATGTGCTTTGCACTTTCAAAGTGCAAAGTACTGCTGCAGGACTGGACTGATACACCGGCTCTAGATATCACCGAACAGCCACTGGAAATGGTGGATCGGTTCGCCTACCGTAGTAGCTGTGGTGGTCACATGACTGAGGAAGTTACTTCGCGTATCATCAAAGCCCGTGTGGCTTTCCAGAGACTCAATCATCTACGGAGACGGCGGGATATCAACTTGTCGATGAAAGGTAGGGTGTATAACGCTGCGGCAAGGCGTGTGTTACTGTATGGATCAGAGCCATGGACAGTTCGCAGTGAATACATTAAACGCTTGGCCGTGTTTGACCACCGGTGTTTGCGAAGTGTTGCTCACGTTTGGTGGGAACACCGGGCAAGCAATGCTGAGGTCCGCTAGTTGGCCTTCGGCAATAAACAGCCTGGCGTCTCACTCGAGTGTTTACTGAACTTTAATCGGTTACTTTGGCTAGGTCATGTCCTCCTTATGCCCGTCAACCGGTATACTCGGCGTGCATCGTATTCCGTCACTGAATTAAGTTCGGTGAAACCGCGAGGTGGTCGGTCGATGACGTGGCATAAAGACATGAAGAAATTGACGGAGAGAGTTGGTCAAGCTGGTGCGCGCCGTCTTCATGGATGGGAGACGCGGGGTAATCCACACCAGTAGCTAGAGACTCTATCAGACACGGTGCAGTCGCGCAGTCAGTGGCGTTGCTGCATTCGGTTTATCGAACTTAGCCGTTAATTTTCCATTCTAATTAATTTGATGCATTACTTTTCTGATTTCAATTTATGCGTTGTTCATTGGCGTTTAACCTCATTTGCTTGCGACGAGTCGTGAAAAACCGGATCTAGCGCACTTCGGTGCCCAGACCACAGTTGTTTAACTGCAGCGAAAAACGACAGTGATGGAGTTGCGAAGGTTACACGACACCAAGAAACCAGATTGATGCGGCAGTTAGGCAAACCACTTCGCATCGTTTGCTCGCTAAAACGAACAGATAAACTCACACTAGGTAACTGGCCATAATCAGAAGCAAGAGCGATGAAGGGAAGCAGTTTGACATGACGTGCTAGTCTGGGGAAATTTAATTGTGAGCGCACTGGCACCAAGACACTGTACAAACATGGACTGTTTGTCGGGGAAATCTTGTCTCGTATCAAAAGAGATGCCCCACTGCTTGTACTGTTTCCCGGTAATTTTCCCTGGACTGCTGCAAAAGGATTTCGCTTTGATTGTGCGATCGATTAAACATATTTCCAAGTGTGGCCGCTTGCCTGGGGATTCCACAGTTGATTTTATTGCCCGTAAGTATTTCAATGTTTGCACGAATATTTTTCTAAGGTCCTAAATGGCCGCTTTCATTCGCCACATAATGTCTTCTCCCGGACACCGAAAGAGGCTGCGAATACTCTGCGCCTACAATATGCCGTAACATTTCAGTGCAATCACTGGCCACATAACCCCATGACATTGGTTCTTCCACCTCTAAATCTCACTCCCATATCCTTCACGGCAAATGCTGTACTAAAAAAGCTGTTGAGTATGCGTAAGCACAGCACACGAAAGTGCTAGCGGCTGTAGGAGAGAGTTAAGCTGGGCCTTTGGCTCGATTCTTCCAACACTGTTTTGGTGAAATGTACCTAGCCGACATGTGGAAACACGGATGATAACTCCTATTCACAAGGGAGGTAGTCATTCTAATCCAGCCAACTACCGTCCCATAATCTTAGTACCGGTCCTTTCAGAGGTCATGAAATCTATTATTTCTGACGCGCTAACCGCCTACATGGAAGAGTTTAACTACCTCGCACCGTAACAACATAGATTCCGAAGAAATCGATCGTGCACTATAAATCTACTACTAGCACGAACCAGCTGGACTGAAGTAGTAGAGTCTGGCACAAGAGTTGATGTAGTCTTTCTCGACCTCTCAAAGGCGTTCGACTGGTTAGACCATATAACATGCTGTTCTTCAAACTCCCGGCCGTTGGTATTGGTGATCCTCTCCTGGGATGGATCGAAGCTTTTTTCTACACCGGCGCCTGGAAGCTTGTGTGCGTGAATCGCTGTCAGCTCCCATCCGAGTTGAATGCGGAGTACCAGAACGATTGATTATTTTTACGTTCATTACAGATATCACGAGCATCATACGCTCGAACTACTTTTTATGCCGATGACATCAAGGTGTGGTGAGCGATCAATACACCAGATGACATCACAGTACTTCCAGCTGATCTGGACAAGGCATACGCGTGGTCAATACAGAATCTAATACGATTCAATGTGGACAAATGTAGAGTGCTGCACCTACGGCATAAGTTGGTGCACTCCAACAAACTCGGCAACCAGGAGCTTGAAACGTCTTCTGGCGAGAAGGCTCTGGGAGTTTTGGTCCATGTCGACGTTGGATGTTCGAGGCAGGCTGAAACGGCGTCTAGGAAGGACATCCAACATGTCGGCCTCCTAGAGCGTGCATCAGACGATTTGATCCTTCGATTTTTCCACAGCATCTCGACTCATACATACGGCTACATGTGGGATACGCAATACTGGTCTGGTAGCCATGTGAGGAGAGATCTCACCGTTTGGAGATACCCCAACGCCGAGAAACAAAAATGTCAAGGGCCTGCATAAGTTGCCAAGCTCGGGGTCTACAGCGGACAGTATGGGCAATCGCGCGGGGACCTCATTTTACTTACCATATTTTGAGAGACCCAAACCACACGTGCCGCTACTTGCTAGAGCTCAGTCACAACAGCAGTTTGAGGTGCAACCATCTCAAGCTGGCAGAGTATCACAGTCGCTTGGAATGCCGTCTGAAATTTTTTCCGTATGCGTTTGCCGTACGTGGAATGCCCTACCGGTATCTGCCACATGTGCTCCCACGCTGGCAGAGTTCAAAGCCCGTTGACCATGCACTTATTTCCCTGCACCATCTTAGATGATCCGTTACCTATGGATAACTGCAAGTGCCTGTAAACAGATTTCACTGGTGGTCAAATCCCAGATTTCGTTCCACGTTTTTCACCTGTATGTGTACATCAGAAGGAGACACGATTTTTACCAACATCCTATTTGCCATAATTTCTTATGGATTTATGCTAGATTTACAATCCATACAGTGAGTTCACTGGTGTAAAAAAAATTTTGATAAAAAAATTTATATTTTGAAGTTTACCATAACTATCCTAAGGAACCTGTTAAGCATTAGCTTTTTTAATCGTATAGCACCATTGTTCCATCTCTCACATGCACTCAAAATTTAGAATTATATTCTCTCGCACTTTTTCGTATCGTAATTTTGCTTTATTTGCCACGCATTTTTGTCGACCCTAAAAAATAAATACTTTGTGCATGCGGCTTCTTGAAAGACATCCACATACCTAGTTTATTTAGTTCTTCAATTTGTATCCATGTATTATTAACTGAGCACTTTATGAAGTGTATCCGCAGTGAAAATGATGATAATGCACCCATTTAGGTGTAATAAGCCTAGTTTGAGTCGGATAATTTGTAGGCCATGATGAGCGGATTAATGCACAGGCACATGGGGTGCAAGACGCACAAGTGGTATCTTCGCATCTTGTTAGGAGGACACCTGACGAATCAATCGGAACGCTCTTAATCAATTCAAACCAGGACTTATCTCGGAATTCAATCGACTAATTGCACTGGCTTACCAGAAGAATGTTCACAAACTATTGGTAATTTAAACAATGTGGAAAGTCAAAGGAATCATATGAAGATGTATGTGCGTTGTGTTTGTCATGCCCTATGCGGTTATTAAACTGGTGCCCAAGACGACGCCTTCTTGATCACCCCAGGAGCGCATGGTCGAAGTGTCGTTGGGATTCACAACAAAAGCGACATCGGTGACACGTTTCAGCGTGTACGTCCTAAACCAGAGCGACGAGAATTGGCTAGAGCCGGAGGCGTGATAGTCGAGAAGCACATGCCACATACGCGGTGGATGTGCGTAACATCTGTCCAGGCGTAATCATCACGTGACCTGCAGATGAGTACGGGTAAAAAGTCCAATCGATCCATCGCACATATGCAATGGACCATGTGACATCACCCACCGCACAAAGGCGATGTCAAGTGCCATCACTCACCGTGCACTTGCTTTACATTGGTGCACTCCTTGTGCGCATTGCAACGATGAATGATTTGTTCCAGATGAAACAATGTTCTCCTGTGTTCACTCTATGGGAAGGAAAACAGTGTGTGAAAGAGGACAGGTGAACATGCTTTTCTGGTTGTAGCTTGTGAACCGACGGGAAGGTGTGAAAGCAAAGAAAGAGCAACGTATGCTGAAGGCCCCCGAGAACAGTTATCAGATTGATTTGGCGAGAGAAGTGCACTAAAATCGCATGACCTCAGACCCACAATAAGCTTGAGCGCAACAGTAAACGTCGTTACGTGATTAGTTACACAATGCCACGAGAATGTGTGTGCAGTAATTGTTAGGTGCACAGAAAATGGCGGGTTTAATGAGAATATTGGCAAACCGGAAAAGCTGTCGTGCACAAACAATGAATTCATGAAATGTTGCTGGATGAGAGAGATGATAAATGACCGTGTCAAGGCTTACGCGTTGTCTCAACTGAACACACGCGGACCAGTAGTCTTTTGCAGCCGATCTAGCACAATCCGAGCATTGCTGGGGATGCACGATAAACTCTAAGGGAATTTCTTGTTCCACCAAATCGCCTGTGGGAAGTTCCCCGTGAACAGTGACCTGTGAATAAGATTAAACACGACAGATAACAATACGGATATTGAAAGTTAAGGTGCTCAACGTGATCACATCTGAATCAGATCGTGTAGTAATGCTAGGAACGTCAGCAACTTCAGAAGGAGAATAACCGACTATCGAGTAATATGAAAAGTCTACTAGTCAGCAATCAAGCAACATCCGCATGTTAATGAAACAGATGGGCTGATCAATAATTACTTTTAATGATAGCAGGCTAGAACATTCAATGACAGAAACAGCTACACAATTAGGAGTGTCCTATAAACAATTAAAGGAAATAGCTTGAGCACGCAGAAAAGGGTGTCTCATGAAAACGATAATAAGCAATAATAATCTCATTATTACGTGCAGGCGTACTGTTCTGCGAACTCTGAAATTTGCTGACACGTACGAATGCGCAGCACTGTTCCACATTACTCGCCGAAAATGTCATCAGGAAACAGATGCTTCAGACATATGTCTATTTGTTATTGCGGCCTACGCCCCCACAAACGGTAACACTGATGATTTCTAGCATCAACTTAACGATCTCCTTCCTCTCAGAAAGGGTACGGATACTGTGGTGCTTGCTGGTGATCCAAACGCCCAAGTCGGAAAATTGTCCTCTGATGGGTTTCATCTGGGCGGCCAACATGGTGTAGACCCCCGTAACGATAACGGTGAGCGGTTTCTATACACATGTGAAGATGCTCATCTCTTTCACGCGAGCACTGACTTTCGACACAGCACCCGCAGTAGGGTGACTTGGCGCCTACTATCCTCGAATCAGCCATGGACACAAATCAATCACATCGCGATTAGTTACCGCTAGAGAGGCTCCGTCCAAAAATGTCGCTTGATTTGGAGCACGATCGTGGACTCGGATCACGCTGATGTGTGCGTCGACCTTCGGGCGCATTTCGGCGGACGTCCGTAACGTCGCTCTGAATACATAGATACCAGCCATTTGGCGAAACCAGGTGTTCTAAATACGTTTCAAGTTACGATGGCATCCGGGCTGAGTAAACGTCCACTGAACACCCCACGAAGATCACTGGTTGCATATTTGCCAAAGTTTAATATCAGCAGGCATGTCTACATGTGGTAAAGCCAATTACTAACCTGGATATTGTGTCTCTAAAGACTATGGTACTTAATGGATGCTTGTCGACGTATTCCGGCTGGAAGCGAATGTAGTGAAACTCGAAAAAGTCTCAGGGCAAAACTGCGGGTTAGCCTGAAGAGAGACCACGAAGCCTGGTGGTCTCATTGTGAATCGGAAAGGGGAACAGCCATTTCCGCTGGTAAGCATTCCGTTTGGTATGGGAAACAGACAGCAGGAGACCTGGTGTTAGCGAGACCATACGCGACTAGAGTGGACAGCCGATTCACAGTCTGTCAAAACGCTTGGAGCGTTGGGCCAAAGCACTTGCAAGGCAGTTTAACCAATCTGAGTTTTCACTTTCTAGGGTATTGAGTGGCATTTACCCTGGGAGGTCTCCTTGGATCCGTCCTCACGTGCAGAAGTCGAACGTGAGATCAGACTGTTGAAAATGCATAAGGCCCAAGGGGGCAGAGAGAACTCCCCCAGCCCTCTTCAAATTAGGGGAACCGCTCTTGTAGATGATTTACACGTTACTAGTGAAAATTTGGTCGTAAACTGTCCCAACAGATCGGATCGGCTCCGTCCCAATTTTCAAGGGAGGCTCCCGTTCGGAATGCGAGAAACATAGAGAGATTGATCTGATTTCAACTGCCTCTAAATTGCTCGCATCTTGTTCTCCACAGACTGACTGGCATTCGTGAAAGCCAGATTCGTGAACAGCAAGCCGGGTTTCGTCAAAGTGGGCGCTACATCGACCACATCTTCATGTTGCGTTAATTGATGGAGCACCGCCGTGTTTATTGACAACCGCAGTCTTGTTTCTCGATATAAAATGCACCTTCGATTCGATATGCTCTTTAGGACTCTGCTCAGGAAAGGCGTGTCCGATAAATACGTAGACATTATCAGAGCGCTGCACGAACATAGTTCGGGCAGAAAGAGGGTTCAGACAAACTGTCGCCGCCCTTCAGTATCTCCAGCGATGTGAGGCAAGGTTGTCCGCTGTCACCTTTGCGCTTTAGCTGTGCTACTGAAGAAGTCATGGAAGCAGCGAACGCTGGACACCCTCTAAACGGTGGGAGCTACTTCCTGGCGAGTGACTTCTAGACTTGGAGTATACGGACGATTTTGCCTTTATCTGTGACAGTTCCCAAACGTGCCAAGCAGCACCGGACCGATTAACACTGACCGTCATTTGTGTTGGCCTATGCATTGTTCCCTCAAAATGCCCGCTCAACGACCGTAGTTCGTTTGAGTCAGGCAGTCGTGCGCCAGGTCGAAGTACAGAGCTTGGTCAGCCGACCAGGTAAAGCAGCGAGTGAATTATTGCAGGATAGAGTGGACAAAACAGGGGATTAGAGCTCAGCACGTATCGATAAAGAGTAGTGGTGGGAAGCTTCCTCCAGGTCGAACTTGGATAGGATGGTTGAAAAAATGAGAAGCCACTGACATCTGCTCATGTTCGATTAAGGATCACACACCAAGGCAAGGAACCGAATGAATTTGGAGCAGGATGTATGATGTGGCTGGCCAGTGGCCGAGTGGTCTGCGCGCCTGCAAGCTAGGCGTGCAGACCACTCGGCCACCGACCTTTGATGACGAGAAAGTCGAGATAGTTGATTAAATCTTCTACCTTGGCAACCACATCGGCAACGATAAGCGCATAACTAAAAAGTCAGTTCACGCATTGTAAAAGCCAGAACTGCCTTTGTGAGTCGGCGACATCTGTGGTGTGAAAGAACGGTTTTTCCGCCTAAAAGGTCTTGCTTATAAGGCTAAAGGACCGTCCTACTCTATGGAAGCGATACTTGGTCGCTCCGATCTGAGCACCTATGACGCCTTCAAGTCTTTGATCATCGTTGTCTGCAAAGCATTGCTGGTGTCAGCAACAGCGTGTCCGCAATGATGATGCGCATAGGCGAGTGCTAGGCAGTGATACTCTAGTACTTTAGAACAACAGATAGCACTAAATAAGTTGCGTTGCTCTGGGCACGTACTAGGTAGGCCTGGCCACTGCTTACTGAGGCTTTGTTTTGTTTGCCAGATGTAGGGTGGTGCAAGGTCCGAGAAGGGTAAAATTGAACTTGGCAGCGTGAAATGAAGTGAATGACTACAAAACTCGGTGACCTCAGTCCGTCTTGTCTTCCCGGCTGGAGTCCAGATGACCCGCCTTGTGTCTCGCTTGAGACGCTACAGGACATAGCTCGCAGTCGACACCCTTGGTGTGTCTTCTGTCGTTTCCTAGTCGAACTGCCTGTTTAAAGTGATATGTGCTGTTAGCTGAGGAGTAATAGCTGATTATGACGCGGGGCAGTGAATGTCATAATGAAGCTGTCTCGCTAATGCCGTCTTATCTTTGCACGATAGCCAGCTGTTTGTGATGGCATGTTGTTGGAACGGAGTGGACGTCTTGACCCTGAGTGTTTGTTTAGGGCATTAAGGTTCCATTTCTCTCTCACTTAATATTCTTGGTTCCGTAGGTCGTCGTGGCCGCACTGCAGTGGAGCATCAGTTAAAATGGTTGATGTATTGCTGTTAATGATGATGATCGTCACAGTTCGGTGCACAGATAACAGCTGAGCAATATAATTTGCTAATGAAAATCTGGAAAAATGAATGGGCTTACTTCAATGTTAATACGTCTGCTATGAGGTTCAGTCCAGATGAATTTGGCTCCACGAACGTTCAATCCCTTAGACAAACCACGTACACGTTTAATACACATAGAAAGAAGTTCAGGAGATTCCGGGTCAGCTGAAACCCACTGCGATGGCGGGTTGAGATACCTGGAATAACTGGTGAGATCAAATGGAAAACAACCTTTCACATTTGGTACAGAATATGATTGTGTTCTGTCTCTGAATATGCTTTGCAATGTCGACCTCAGCGGATAAGCAAGCAACACAAATGTTCGCTTCATTGGATTCCATAGAAACTCCACACTTACAGCATAAACTGGAGGATATGTATAAAAATTAATCGAAACTCACATCCGAGAGTATTGTACAGTGGTCATAGTTAAAGCTTTCTGGGTTTCTATACACCGTCAAAAATACGCCAGCTCGCCCCAAGCTGAAATATGTTGTTGACAGGATTGCAAACGACGCCAAGCAAGGTCACGATTTAAAAGCATAAGTTGAAAATCAGTCGGATAACAATTGACGATACACTGAGTCGAACTGATAAAAACGGGCAAAATAAGCCCAAGTAACTAAGCACATGAAATAAAGGATAAAAAGATACTCGGCCATGTGGCACGCTGCATCTTGGATAGGGTCACCCTGGAATAAATTAGGCCATAAATTAGGTCATAGCTCTGAGCAAAAGGTGATATATATTTCATTGGTGTTATGTCATAAATTTTACATCAATGTTATAACCACCCATAACCAGCTCAATGACTACACTTGTCAGTAAAATATCGAGTCAAACCTTGTATCCATTTCCCCCTCTACAATATGCTTACTTTATCCCATGACCAGAAAAATAGGGGTACACTCCGCGGTAAAGTGGTTATATCGCCTTCCACCATTAGTAACGTCATCTAACAGTAAAATAATAAAGCTGGTATTAACAAGTTTTGTAAAAAAAAATCACCACAAAAGTGAGAATTTTAAGATATGGCGCACGAAATGTCATACCACTTGTTGGGTATATTGCACGTGCAATATTATAGACATGATGTTGAAAACTCGTATTCGTATACTTGGGTTTATGGAAAATCCGGTAGATGTCACGAGAAGTTAGTAAGGAATATTTTCTTGGCGTCGAACACAACTTTCAGAATGGCGCATAAGAGCAGACTGAGTGCTGAACAGAAGGTGAAAGTTGTAATGATTTGTTTACAGAAACGAGGAGTTTCGTAGCTACACAAAGACATTTTCGTGCACACTTTCGTACAAAATTGGCTCCATGTAAACAGAATATTCAGAGATTGTATCGTCAGTTTGAAACGACTGGCTCTGTGGTGGAGAAGAATCGACGGCGCAAACCAAGTATCCGCATCCCTGAAAACGGAAGCAGTTCGCATTGCTTTGACATGAAGTTCAAGGAAACCAATAAGGAGGACAACTGCTGAGATAGGAATATCTCATCGGTCCATACAAAACATACTGCATCCTTATCTTCAAATATTCCCTTACATGATAAGATTTGTCCACAAAGTAACAGCAGAGGACAAACAACGAAGACATCAGTTCGCTTCATGGTTAGTGCAAGAGGATCACATTGGTTTATTGACGAGGTGGATTAGCATTTAAATGGTGTAATGAATAAGTAAAAGGTTCGTTTCCGGGCAGGTGACCATGCTCACATCTTGCCCAAAAGGGAAAATTATGGAGAAAAGGTAAGGGTATGGGCAGCGATTTCATCCTACGGAATCATCAGAACCTTTCACCGATGAGATGGTAAACAAAGATCGAGATAAAGACATACTGGTAAACAGATTTATTCCAGAACTTTTGGTAACAGGTCTCCATTTCAAACACAATGGTCCATGCAAGATGGAACCCGCCCACACACCTCAAATGTTGTTAATGATTATCTGTATGACATGTTTGATGCGCGGGTAATGTCATATCCGTTTCCTGAGCGTCACCAAGGTGGGAGACGGGAGCCCCACATAGCCTTGACATCAATCCATGTGAGTTCTTCTTGTGGGGATACTTAAAAGATAATGTATTCGCAAAGTCTGCAAGTGCAACTCAGGGCTCTCATCATGCAGTTGTGCCGTCTAGTTTCAGAAGACTTGCAGGAATGTTATGACAAATGTACAGGTTCGCTTGCAAGCGGTTATGAAATAAAACAGTGATCACATTGAACACATACTACATTGAACTAAATTTCCATGCTGATACAATTAATTTTGCACTAATTTTGTAATATTTTGATGGAAAATACATGTGTTATGAACAAAACAAATGGCATGACATTTCGTGCGCCACCCTGCATTACGGAAACAGTGTTACTGCAAAACGTGTAATCATGATACCACGGTCCTTAGCAATTGTGTCTGTGACATAAACATTCCACTGACAGTATCTTACTAGTCAAATGTCGGGGAGCTAAGGATGGAAATGGCATTCTTTGTAGTTGTCTTCTTCGAACTATTAGCTTTGGTTTCTGTTTCTTCGTTAAGAAAGCGAGCTGATACCTCCACTGTTGTTAATACTTCTCCAAGCATTGCCTGGACTCTCTTTTTTCGAGCATTGCCCATGGCCTCCAAGTTAATGGCGAACACGCCGGCGAGATCATTTTTATTTTGGTCTGCCGTAAAAAGTTCAAAGATGATAGTCAAACAGTATTTGGAAAAACGTCGTGGCTTGGTTGTGGATCATCAACTACATTTTTTGTCCTTCTGGTTCCGCTGCTGCTGTGACTGTAATAACGACCTGAGCATTATCCACAGAAGTTACAATTCTGTGCTAAATGGCTTCATTAAATGAGTAGATTCCACTGTCACTAAATCCACTGATACCATTTATCTGCGGCAATCTGTCAAACAGTTATTTGGTCAGGGAAGGAAAAACTTCCTTGTTAACTTTCGGGAGTCAATTTCTCGAAACGTCTTCAGAATAGACTTCCAGACCACGTTGTAAGGGCTAAAGATACCAACGTCTAGTTGTTGAAGTGTTTGGCTAGTGTTTCGTGGCAAATACATTATTATTATTATTATGTTATTTTCCATAGCCGACTGTACTATCCTGTAAGTGAGGTGGCTGCCATGTACACCATAAATAAGTGGAATTGGCTACCCCGCATGTGCTACACGTTGAATAAAATGCAAGAATCAGGATTCAGAAACCAATTCTACATCCATCCTGATTTCGTGACGCCAAAGCATGTTCCTCAGGATCATCTTATAGTCCAAGTTGATACAGATGTAGCAGTTAAAAAAAATAATAATTTGCCAGCTGTACGTCGTAACGGCGCTTCACTGTCATGCGACTACCGACAGTCGCGTGCGGGCTGGATATACCGCGACGACGCCCACCTGTACGCAGATTCAAAACGGCGATCTTATGGTTGCAAACTAGACATGCAGATCACTCAGGCACCGGCCCAAATCTCTCCGTGTAGTATGATAGAGAACAGCAAGCTAGCTCGCCATTCTTAGACATTCGCATCAAAAGGTAAGCCGGAGGCACATACACACCGTCTACCGTAAAACAAACTGGAGTGAGCAATACATGCGTTTCAACAGCTTCGCCCAGGTTGCATACCAACGAGCTCACGTCAGAACCATTTCCTACAGAGCCAGGCGTATGTGTAGTCCAGAGATGTTGAGGAGCGAAGAGGTGTTCCTACACAGGACTCTTCTGTGCAATGGGTATGCGAATAAATTTATTCAGTTCTACAGTAGACTCACTAAAGAGAAGCTACCAGTGCAAACGGTTGTGAAAAATGACATTTGTTTATCTCTAGCGTTCGAAGGGGACAATGTTTTAAGTGAAATTGGTCACAAAATTGCGTCTGCCGAAAAGCGCAATTATACCAACGCGTGTCTACGAATCCTTCACACCACAGGAGTCTGGAGCCCAACTACCGTCCAGACAGTCGGTTTGGCCTCTCATGCTAGTTACCTGTTCACCTGTAGCTGCGGCGATGTCTACACAGACAGGACCGAGCGGCGACTGGCTCAAAGGGTGTCTGAACACTTCCAAAAGTGGTTGAGGCAATCAATGGTACAACATGCGCTTCACTGCCAAGCAACCCCCACCAGTCGTAGGTGGCCCAAGAGTACTGCGAGGATTGCCCCGCATCCTTAAGTAGCTCGGAGCCGTGATCCCCCGAATACAATACAGGCGCGTGACCCTTTCGATCATGGGCCGTAAACCAAGCACTAAGCTTGTACCCACTCGTAAAACCCTCTGAAAGTACATTTTGTCTCGCATAAGGCAAGGTAACAAGCATGGATACTGTTGTGGTGCCGCTGAATGTACGGCTAACCGGTTGCTACCGTACAGCTGACCGTTGCCAGAAGCGCGTTGTGGTTTCCGCTGACTTTACGGATAACCTGCCTGAATCTGCTGTACCGCCCCCAACCAGTTCAACCCGCCAGGAAATGAGAACATCAAGACCAGGCTGTCCGAGGGAGCCGGATTCTGATTCTATTGTATGAGAGCATGGTGCAGTAAATAGGTTATAGGAAACCATTAAACAACAAAATTGGAGATGCTAATTAATATTAATAAACATAACTCAAACGGTTCGAGTTCATGGTCCGACTTGCCGGTGATAACCTCACAGATTCGCATTTTGATCTATATTCGCGTTCCATCTCTAATGGTGGATCGATCCACTGTTGCGCACTGCTCTCTGCCTGAACGCTGACTCACCACAACAGATACAGTATTCAAAGAAAGATCAGAAGAAAGCTGAGGAAAACTTCAAGAACATATCGGTTGTTAAACCCCGAAGGAGAGGCGAATAAATCACATTATACGCAACACCGTACAAGCACGCTTCTTCTAATTGTCGCCTGACTGGAAGGCTGATGAGTGGACGAGACCAAACTGCTCAGTGACAATAGGGACTCTACTTGCTCCAACAACATAACTTGTGGGAGGACCAGCAACTCCTATTTGGAAAACAGAACACTTGACCCGATTTAAGGGCATCAACCATAAGGTAGAACATTCCAAGAACTTATTTGAGGAACGTGAACTGACTCAGAACCCCCAGAAACATTCACGATATTAAAGAGGTTAAGGTCATCAGAAAAGTTCGAGACAGCACCCCAAACCCCTTCGGCAAACCAGTTACATAAACCGTGAACAGCAATGGCCCTAATACCGAGCAATAAATAAATAAATAAATAAATAAATAAAATGGTTTATTCTCGAATGTATCGAGGCACACCAAACCAGGTATGATCAAAAGTTACAGGCATTTATGTTTCGCAACAGGCACGTTGCTATGTAAGTAATCGGCATTGGTCGAAAGATGTACAGGCTGCGGTGATTGAGGAAGTAAACATGAGAAATAAAGTCAACCATGGAATGACGATATTCTGGGTTCAAGTGAGCATAGTGCAAACAGTCAAGGCACCAAGAGCAAGTTTCTTAGGCGAAA